AAAACACGGCATCCATTTTTAGTAGCAACCAAAGTATATTTATTTAGGGACCTGATGTAATAAAGTGCATGTATGCTCTTAACAATCTTTATGAAATGGTGATATAGTATTTATGTAATAGCTTCATAATTTTTTGTCTGTCAACAAAAAATTTATGGATGAAATTTGATATATTTAGGTATTGCTGTCATGTTGTTATAATATTTGGTATCTTTAATTAATAGTTGTGAGCTAACTTGGAATAAAATGATGGCGGCTGCGATATAACTAGCAATAAGTTTGTATGACAGTATTTTATTGGCCAAAATTTAAATATTTTTCGATCTCTTTTTCTTGTTTTTGATGGAAATTGACACAAATGGCAACAAATGGGACATTTACATATTTTATTATTTTGTATATTTTCATTCTATAGTAACATTTTCTAAAGGCCCCTGGTAAATATACGAGCATAAACATTCTCATTGACATGAAAAGATATTTGAATATGAAGTTAACATAAATACCTTGAGAAACGGTTGATTACACGGTTTGCTCAACTTGAATTAGAGGATGGAAATGAAATAAGACTAAGGATAATATTATACCGACGTAGTGAAATTAGTGTTCTTCCACCATTTGACAAATCATGAACTACTTTCTTGTTTGGACTTTTTCTTTTCAAGTGTTGGGGCAATGATGAAAATGGGCTTGGCCCAAATTGCTGGAAACATTAATTTCTATTAAAACATTGCCCAATAACTCAAAGGAAGTTAGCCCAAAACCCAGCCCAAATTGATGGCCACGTGTGTTGCTCTGGTCTATTGATCTTCAGCCTAATCTATGGTGATGATGATGACTATAAAAGGAGATGAATGGACATTTTCTTCGTGATTAATCCATTCCTTCTTCTGCTGAGTGTTGGAGAAGCTTCTGGGTTCTCTGTTCGCGTTTCTTCTATGTAGTCTCTTTCGATTCTTTGTGTCTTTGATTAAAACTTCTGGTTTTAATCACAAATCTTGGAGATTAATTGAGTCTTGGTGATTCTTCGATTGAGATTTCTAGAAAGTTAGATTGGCTGTATAGTCTTGAACCATTTGAGTAGCTGCTTTGTGCAATTTCTTTAGGGTTTGGGGTTCTTTGTGGTTGTTTTCTTTGTACATACGGGTACAATGACTTTGTGTATTCTGAGCCCTAACAATTATCGATCCCTTGGTGTTTTGGTTTATTGAATGTTCTTAAGTGATTCATTTTTTCTGCTTCCATTTGGTTTTTGACTCTACATTTCTTATGTTTGACTAGAGATCAAGAGGAATGTCGTTCTACAAAGATACGGAAACCATTTTTCTTATCTCTTTATTTAATTTGCATAAAAATTCTGTTTATATTTATTTCAAAAAATCAAATATATATATTATAGGTTTCCAAGACCTTTTTTAAAACTCAAAAGTTAATATTTACTTAGTAGCAAAAAAAAAAATAATAATAATATAATAATAAAGACACATTTGAGGACCTTGTTACTAGATGACGGACCACGTTACACATCTCCTATCAACAAGAAAAAAAAACATTATAAATCATTTTTTGATTAGTGATTAAGAAAAAAAATAAAATATCCAAAAAAATAATAAAAATAGAAAGGGTTAAAAAT